TTATTATCTGGTAAGTAACTTGCCCTCTATTACCCAGCTAATAAGTGGCAGAACCAGAATTAAAAATCAGATATTAGGGACACCTGGGTGGCTCAGTCATTAAGCGTCTGCCTTCAGCTCAGGTCTTGATCCCAGGGTCCTGGGATCGAGCCCTGCATAGGGCTCCCTGCCTGGCGGGAAGCCTGCTTCTCCCTCTCCCACTCCCCCTGCTTGTGTTCCCTCTCTCGCTGTCTCTCTCTGTCAAAAAATAAATAAAATCTTTAAAAAATAAATAAATAAATAAAAATCAGATGTTAGACTCCTTCTGAGTCTTGGCTTTTAACTATGTCATAATACTACTTTTCAAGGGTTATAAGTATGATGTTCCCATTAGCTGTTCCAGAATGAAAACTGAATGGTACTGAAAATGTGATAAAAGTTCTTGTTTTGTTTCATTAGTACAAGACTAGATATCGAGCCTAAGCCAAAAAACACTTTTGCCATTATCAAGTGTAATAAGCAAATAAGTACACTTTATATTATTACCTTTGGGAACTTGTGTCTTTTTCATGGCTGTCATTGGTAGAAGAAATTTCATCCAGTTGCTCTGGAAGAGGATGGTGATTAATAGCATGTTTTGTTATTCCTTTCCTGTGAAAGATTTTTTAAAAAGTTATATTTCCTGTAAAGAAAAAATATATACTTTTCAATAACTTGACTACAAGTTAGTTACCTACTTCCTGCTGCTCTGGGACTGCACCGTCCTATATGGTAGCCACTAGCAGTTAAAATGTGATTAGTCAGTGTGATGAGCACCAGGTGTTGTATGGAAGTGTTGAAACACTCTAGTGTACACCTGAAACTAGTATTACACTGTATTTTAACTAACTGGAATTTAAATGAAAATTTTAATAATGTAGTTAGTCGGAAGTGAGATGTTTTAAGTATAAAACATGGGATTTTGAAGTCTCAGTACAACAAGAATGTATAATAGATCAATAATTTTATCTTAATTACATATTAAAATGATAATATTTTGGATATGCTGGGTTAAAAATATATTCTTATAGTTTCACTGCAAATTTAAATTACAGTAAGTTATAACCACACACCTTTTAGAACAGCTAACACAAAATATGGTAATGCAAGTGACAATGTGTAGAAACCAGATGTCTCATACACTGCTGATAGAAATGTAAAAAGGTACAGCCACTCTAGAATAGTCTCACAGTTTCTTTTTTTTAAAGATTTTTTCTAAAAAATTGATGAGAGAGAAAGAGAGAGAACACAGGGAGGAACAGAAGGAGAGGGACAAGCAGGCTCTGCACTGAGCACAGAGCCCATCATGGAGTTGGATGCGGGGCTTGATCCCAAGACCCTGAAATCATGATCTGAGGTGAAACTTAACTGAGAACCAAGGAGCCCCAGTCTCATAGTTTCTAATAAAACGTGTACCAATGTCAGTTTCCTGGCTTTAACACTACACTAGTTACATAAGTTGTCATCATTGGGAGAAGGTGGGGGAAGGGTTCGTGGGATTCTATGTATGATTTTTGTAACAGTGAGTCTATAATTATTTCAAACTAAAAACTCAAAAAATTAATTTCATGTTTCTACTATTTTTTAACGTGACTACCTGAAAACTTAAAATTCCATATGTCGCTTTATTGTATTTCTGTTGGACAGAGCTGCTCTGAAGAGTTCAACATGTACATTAGAGTAAACTAAGGGATCAATTATCATATGTTCCAGTCTTAACCATCTATAGTAGACTTACCTCCCCCACAAAATTCTGCAATAAAATAAGTTTAGGAAACATGATAAGCTAAACAAAGTACATAGGTTTCTTTATAAAAGGTCTCTTTAGGGTCTTTAATTTGCAAATGTAATTATAAATCTCTAATACCCTTACTTCATAGGCAAGGAAAGTGAAGCACAGAGAGATTAAGTAACCTGCTTAAGGTCATATGTCTACGAAGTGATAGAGCCAGGATTCAAATCCAAGTACTCTGGCTCTGAGGCTTCTCAGAGCAAATGAATAATTTGAGATTTTAGTGAATGGTACCATTTTTGTATATAAAGATAAAGCTAAGGGCCCAGTCAGCAGAGCTTGTACTTGAAATTATTTCTCAAATGTAGGGATGGATTTGTGCAGAGCTATTTGTACTTCTCTCATTCAATGATTTTACAGTCAAAAGCTTGTCTCTGAGACAGTGGTAGTGAACAGAAATGTGGATTCCAGCTACAAAACAGAAACGTAAGACATTTTTTAGTTTGTCAAAGAAATCTAACTATGAAATGATGATTAGATAATACCAAAGAAATATTAAATTTGATCACAGCATTGTTTTTACATAAGAAAATACCTAGGGGTGCCTGGGTAGCTCAACTGGTTGGGCGTCCGTCTGTCTGCCTTTGGTTCAGGTTGTGATCCTGGGGTCCTGGGATCTAGCCCTGCATCAAGCGCTGCATCAGGCTCCCTGTTCGGCAGAGTCTGCTTCTTCCTCTCCTTCTGCCCCTCCCCCTGCTCGTGCTCTTTCTTTCTCTCAACAAATAAATAAAATCTAAAAAAAAGAAAATACCTATAATTTTTAGAGATGCATGCTGAGGTATACAGGGGTGAAATAAGTGGGGTTTTGCTTTCTTATTTACAGATGATGGACAGAGAGGCTGAAAAAAAGATAAAGAAGATAGATGAAGCAAATATATCACAATTTGATAATTGTTGAATGTGGGTGATAGGTGGTTCATTTTATTATTCACTATACATGTATGTTTGAAATTTATCACTTGTTAAGTGTTAAGCTGTATGTTGAAAATCACTTTTTTTTTTCAAACTCTTTTCAATATCTATAATTTGGAACTATTAGGGAGAAAACTAAAGTTACTTCTTCAAAGCAAATTATCATTCTAGTAAAAATTGTTTTTATTTTACTGTCATTTAGATACATATAATCCTCATTATCTTCATTATTCGTATCATCCTGACTCCTCTAGAGAATCATCTTTGAAGAGACTTGTCTTTAGAGAGTATCAATCAAATCAACAATAGAGAACACGTAACGTACTATACTGGAGTAATTCTCACCCACTAAATGCCTACCAACAATTTTTTCCACAAATGAGTTTTGTTTTTGTTTTTTTACTCTAAGAATGGTCAGAATTAATTATAAAAGCAGACTTTTAGCTAAGTCCTGTTCCCTTTATTGGAAAATTACTTTCTTCTACTTCCTAAAAAGCTTATTATCTGAATTGCTCCTGTGTAGATATCCTATTACTTAGTAGATAATAAGCTTCTGAAAGACAGGCGAGATCACAGATTTTCTTTGTATGGCCACTGTACCAAATAAAGCTGGGAAAGGACAGGAAATTACCAATTACTGAGCATCTACTATGTGTCAAGCCCTGTGCCACCACTTTAGATATGCTTTTAGAGAAAGACCAATATTACAGAAATGAATGCTCAAATATTTAGTAATCTGCTGAAAAGTCACATGACCAGGAAAGAGCCTAGCCAGACACCCAGATTGACTGAAGATTCCATGCATGTTATTACCATGTAGTTAATATTTAATTTTTTAATGTATGGTTGCTAAAATTATATAGCTCTACAGAGAAAAAAAGTTGGAATTTGAGGACAAAAAGCCCAAGCTCAAAACCTATTGGTTATATAATCTTAGGATGTGTAACCTTTCTAATATTTCATGTTCTGTAAAACTGAAAGATAATCATACCCATCTTACAGAGTTGTTGCAAGGATCAAGATGTGAAAGTCTCTTTGAAAGTATAAAGCATTAACAAATGTACAACATTATCATTACTTGCTAAATTACAACACTTCACCAGGGGTGGGAGGTGGGTTTTTAAGCTTAAATATTTGCTCTCTAGAGCAAAACTTATCCTTAAGGATTCTGATGTTTAACTGCAGAGATGGGGAAGCAGTTAGTGTAATGATTATGACCAACGCTTCGGGTAAGACTGACACCAGGTTTGTGTGCTCCACCACTTTCTGCCTGTATAATCTTTGGCATACTACAATCTTAAATCTGGGATCTTTGTTTGTAGAATGTGCAAAATAATATTCCCTATTCTGTATCCTGACAGGATTAAGTGAGCTAATGCATGCTTTGCACGGTGCCTGGCACTAGACATATTCAACTTTTCTGTAGCACTCAGTCAGCTATTGGTAACTTCTCGATTCGTCAATGGCATGAAGCACTGAGGAAACTACAAATGCCATAGGAGACCCAGTCCCTGAGTACAGAAGTGCAGCCCAAGAGGACCAAGTCCTAGGAAAGCACAAGTGACATGCCCTTAGCTGGAGATGGAGGCAGACCGGGCAGCGTCTGACAAGTCTGGGAGGAGAGAATGCCGAAGAAAATTCTCCTTCCCCCGCCCGGGAAAGGGAAAGGTGAGAAGCACTGGTTGGGAAGGGTTCCCACCAGGGCGCCCGCGGCCCGCCTCAGCCTCCCCCGGCCCGGGCTAGGATGGCTGAGCAGTACACTCACAGCTCCAAGCTTTGCGGCACCGCCTTCCGAGTGTATCTGGAGATCATCCTCCTCTTCCTCCTCTGTCGTGGAGGGGGCGGGCACGCCAGGGTGGGGGCCTCCGGGCCTGGCCCTCCCGCCGGCTCCGGCCCGGCCCCCTCCCGCCACCTTCCGGCCCCGTCACGCCCCGTCGCCTAGACTCCGGACCGCCACCACTCCCTGGGTCCCCACCCCTCCAGTCCTCCGTCCTCCTTGCTTCCCCGCGGGGGCGGAAGTGACGAACGCACGGAGGCACCGCGTAATGCTCCCGCGGACGCGCAGCAGTGACGCCACCAGGGGTTCCGGGGCCGAGCGGGTCTTTCAGAGCTTCCGCTGGCCGCGGGTGCGCGACAGGCGTCTGGACTGACCTTGGACCAGGCTTTGGCTGCTACTGGCAGCTCCCGACCGGCTCACGCGGTGGGAGGGGCGGTCGAGGAAAGGGGCCGCAGCGGAGACGCGTGGGGGAGGCCGAGAATCGTAAGCGGAATTGGCTTCCTTTTGTCGAATGGAGGGCGGAAGCTTAGTCTGAGTAAAGAGCACTGGACTCCAGCTCGGCTCTCTGCTGCGTGGTCGCTTCTTTTTCTGTGTGCCAGTTTTCTCACTTGTACAGCAAGGAGTTAGCCTGAGTGATTTCAAAGTCCCTTCCAGTTCTGACACTAAATTCTTCATTAAAATGTGTGCTTGGCATTATGAGGTGGGTGGATGGGATTATCTGTCCCTCTGGGTTAAGAAGCCAAACGATTTGGACAGACTGGATAGAAGATGCAGGTTCCTCTCGACCTCGTTTTATTAGCCCATGAGAAACCGAGTAAGAATAAAAATCGAATTGTGCCTTACAGTGGACCATCCAGTGCAGTGCCTCCCTTTTCCAAGCCTCATCTGGCAGCAATAGTAAGCTAGTACTTTGGTTTGTAAGGGAAACCCTTAGAAAATAGAGGTATTTACCTCCTCTTATATACCGGAGCTACCACCCCCCACCCCGCTCCAGACCTGAAAAAGGGACAGTTTTAGGACAGCTCTAGGATTAAGAACCATGGGCAAATTATTTTGGTGTGAGATGATAGGCCATGTTTTGTGGTTTTGAATTCCCCTATGCCGTACAATAGTCATAAAAGATTTAAATTCTGCAGAGTGAGGGAGATTGCCCTAAAGAGTTTTAAATAATAATTTAAACTGGGGGAGAAATTTAGAAGTGAAAGAGTAACATTCTCATTCTACAGTTAAGGGAAAAGCCCCAAAAAGAGAAATTGAGGTGGCTGTAAGTGACACAACTAATTAGTGGCAGAACATAAGATGTTATTGCAGTGCTTCTCAAAGTGTGTTACACACACTAGTGCTAGTGTGAGGGCAAACTTTTTTTTCATTTATTTTTTTCAAACGTTTTTTATTTTATTCTTGCATACTATTAGTTAATTTGGGAATGTGATACTCGATTTCCATTTATCATATCAAAAGTTCCTTTAATTTCAAGTATGAAAAACATAATTTTAAGTATAAAAGCATCATTAAAAGAATATTAAATAGGTGTTAATACTCATACTTGATCAAGGCAAAAAATGATAACACATGGATAACTGAATTTTGGAAAACAATGGAATCATGTCGAATAGTTCAGAGAATTGGATTTTACTTCTGCATCATTCTATGTGGTTTATATTATTGAAACTTTAAATGTAGTTTTCAAAGAAGAATGGAGGAAAATATGAAGCTTGCTACAGTGGAAGACACTGTGGAGTATCACCTATTCCTGATACCAGATGAACCAAGGGACCCAGAAAAACACAAAGAGATTCTTCAAAAGTATATTGAGAGGATAATGACTCAGTTTGCACCTATGCTGGTCCCCTATATCTGGCAGAATCAGCCTTTCAATCTTAAATATAAACCTGGGAAAGGTAAGGCTCTTTTACTTATTTTGATGTGATATGACTTCTAATTCTGACAAGAGTGATCTATAATAGTCCATAGTTGATTCAGTGTTGTGAGGAGATTTATAACCTGAACTTTTTTGATTAGTGATGCTTGCCTGTATTTGGCTAAGTCCTTAAACTTACCAAAAAAATTTTTTTTAATTCATTTGATGAAAGCTTTCTAGTAGTAATTACCTTGAGAACTAACATATACTCAACATTATTAAACCATGGCTGTTCTTTGGAACTTTACTTTCCTGTGCTATAATGTATCTAAGTACTTTTATTAAACAGGTTCAGGCATCTGGCTTCCTTAACTGTAGCTCCCTTTAGTGGTTACTCTGTATTCCTCATTCCTGATCATGTGTTTAGTAGGCTGCCTTGTTTGACATAGTTTTGAAACTATGTGGCTCTGCCTGGCTTATAAAGAGAAATAATTGGGCCTATGGCCATTATTTGCTACTCAGAAGCATTTTGAGGTTGCTTCATGGCTTCTCTGTGTTGTTGGTGCTTGAGATCTGATTTTCTTATCATTTCATATAGCTTTAGTAAAATGAGGCACCAGTAGGTGACCACAGCTCTTATTCATGCAGGGTCTTATTTCAGATCAGGAGTCTGGCATCTTTTGATACTGTCAATCTAGGTCTCAATGTAGTGTTCATCTGTTATTTTTGCCAAATGTGTTCCCTGGTGTTAATTTTATTGAACCCCTATTCACCGAAACACGTGATATTTATTGGCAAGAACACCATCACATTAGCACAGCACATCCAAGACCAACTCCTTATCTTTTTCCTAGAAAATCATTTTTACCCAAAGTTTTCTTGTCTTGCTTAATGGCATTATTATCCACGTAGCTATTCAGCTTGTTAATAATTCAAAATTATACTCAGCTCCTCACTTGACCATGTTCAGTCAAGCACTAAATCCTAGTGTGGTTACTCCTAAAATACAACCCCTTCTCTACATTTGTTGGCTACAATCTAGACGCTCTTTATCTCTTCATCTGGAAGACCACAGCAGCCACCTAACTAACCTCTCTGGTTACAGTATCTCCAGTCCCTCACACTGTTGCCAGTTACCTTTGTAAAACACGAATTTGATCGCGTCAATCTTCTGCCTAACATCCTTCACCAGTTATCCATTGCTTCTGCATAAAGTTCAAATTGAAGTTTAATATATAAGGTAGATAAAAATAGACGCTCTAATTGGAGCTTCTCTAGTTGAAATTTGAGAGATCTGGGGTGGGGAGAAGAGTTGGTTGGGCTGTTCTTCCTACTTTTTTGTTTTGTTTTGTTTTTTTGCCATGGCAGCTCTTGAGACACTTCACAATGTGCTTGTTTGACCTTTAGTCTGTTAATGTGGTAGGTTACATTGATTGATTTTCATATGCATTACATTGCATTCCAGGAATAAATTCCACTTGGTCATGGTGTAAAATCTTTCAGTGTGTCGAATTCAGTTTGCTAGTATTTTGTTGAGGATTTCTGCATCAGTATTCCAGGGATATTGGTCATAGTTTTCCTGTATTGTTTTTGTCTGGCTTTAGTATAAAGGTAATGCTGGCCTCATAAAATGGGTTTGGGAGTGTTCCCTCCTCTTCGGTTGTTTTTAAGAGTTTGAAGAGGATTGATGTTAATTCTTCTTTAAATGTTGGTAAATTCTCTAGTGACCTTTTCTTTGTTGGGAAGTTTTTGATTACTGATTCAATGTCCTTTACTAGTAACCAGTCTGTTCAGATTCTCTATTTCTTTGTGATACAGTCTTGATAGGTTGTGTGTTTCTAAGACTGTACTCATTTCTTCGAAGGTATCCAGTTGGTTGGTGTACAGTTGTTCATAGTGTTCTCTTATAGTCCTTTTTATTTCTGTAGTATAGGTTGTAATATCGCCTTTCATTTCTGATTTTAGTTACTTGTGTCTCCTTTTTTTTTCTTACTAATACAAGATTTTGTCAATTTTGTAATGTTTCAACAAACCAAATCACTTTATTTTTTTCTATTTTTCTCTTCTCTGTTTCATTAATCTCTGTTCTAATCTTCATTATTTCCTTCCTTCTGCTAGCTTTGGGTTAGCTTTTCTTGTTCTCGTTCCTTAAGGTGTAAAGTTAGGTGGTTGATCTGGGATCTTTTATAACTATAAACTTCTTAGCACTGTTTTTAGTATGTTACGTGTTTGTTTTCATTTGTCTCAAGGTATTTTCTAATTTCCCTTGTAATTTCTTCTTTGACCCTTTGGGTTGTTTAGGAGTGTATTAAATTCTACATATTTTTGAATCCTGCATTTGTTTAAAAAAATTCTGCTCCATCTAAATTTAGCTTCCTGGGGCGCCTGGGTGGCTCAGTTGTTAAGTGTCTGCCTTGGGCTCAGGTCATGATCCCAGGGTCCTGGGATCGAGCCCTGCGTTGGGCTCCCTGCTCAGCGGGAAGCCTGCTTCTCCCTCTCCCACTCGCCCTGCTTGTGTTCCCTCTCTCGCTGTGTGTCTCTCTGTCAAAT